GAGGGCCCCGAGGGCGCCCCTTGGTTATGTTGAGGGGGCCGCTTGGCTTGCAACAGCGGCGATCGGTCGCCCCCCCATCTCCGCCGCCGCCGCGCGGAGCTGCATGCGTTGGCGGTGCTTCTGCCCGTCGCGCCAGCCATCTGTTCCAGGATTCCCAAGGCAGCGTGCCCAGTGCTGAATGTCTCTGGGCCCGTGGTGTCGACCCCCTTCGGGCGGGCTCTCGGCGCCCCCGTCGCCGCCCGAATCAGAAGTTTGGGCTCGGGGATCCTGCCGTGGAGCTCCGAGAGGAGGAATTGGGCGCGAGGGCGCGACGGGGCTTTTTTTGGCAGCGGCGGATCTGGATGCGTCCATGCCAAGGCTTGGAGGTTGAGGAGACGTGCCTGGTCCGTTGTTCATCTGCGCCCAGGTGCCGAGGGTTTCAGTGGGCGCGTGAGTTTTGCCTGCGTGTTGATCGGCGTGATTTTCCTTTTCGTTCCTGGGTAGTTGTGCATGGGCAGTTCGGTGCGATGGTCTGGGGGCAGGCGTCTGAAGCTCATGGGGGCCTGGGGGCATCGGAATGTGTTCATTTTATGGTGTTGAGGGAGCTGCTTAGCTCCCATTAATATGGGGCCTTTATTTCGCATCATCTTACTGCAGGCGGGCACTGGCCCGATATGCGCCTGAAAGGCGCAGGCTACCTCGGCGGCGGCATTTGTCATCGCTGCGGAGCTCGACCTGGGACTCCCTGGCGCGGGCGGTGGGCGTTTCCAGATAATGCGAATATGGCTGATGATCTTATTTGTCGTGCCAGCCATCTGACCCGTGGCCTCGCCCCGCTCGGATGGGTTCGCGGCGTCCTCTAACCTGCTGGGTCTGAAGTTTGGGCCCAGAGATCCTTTCGTGCAGCTCCGAGTGAAGGTGTCGAGATGCGATGGGGGCATTTTGGCAGCGGCGGTTTTGCATGAGTCCATGCCGAGGAATGGAGGTTGAGGAGATGTGCTGGGTCTGTTGTTCATGTGCACCCGGGTTCGAAAGATTTCAGCAGTCATCTGTGGCGCGTTGCCTGGGGGGGATCAGAATTCGCCCAGGGCTGAGTTCCTCGCCCTCGTTCAGATGCTTTGCTATGGTGTGGGCGGCGCTCTGCTGTGCGCCGACTACCTCCCCGTCGCCGAGGTTTTGTCCAAAGCTAAATTTGAAGTTGAACGCTCGTACATGCTGGGCCTGCGGCAGCAGGCCAGGGGCTCGTTGAAGTGCGGGTCTGGCAAGGTAGAAGTCCATTGGTGCAAGAGCCGCGCAGCGCGGAAGCAGGTGGCAGCCCGCCTCCTGGCCCCCCGAGGATTAGTTGCCAACGGGTTTGCTGATTACTTTGCGGAGGAAACTGTCATGAAATAACTAGTGTAGATGAGAACTTCCTCTCCGTGATGAAGAGGCTCCTTGCTGTTTCTTTGCGTGTTTTTCTCGTGTGCCCGAGGGCGCGCGATGATCGATTGGGCGGGGGTCGCCGCGGGGATGCGGGGTCCCATCTCGATGAATGCTCGAATGCCAAGGCTAACCGGGCAGGTTCGCTCTACCTCCAAGGCTGGTGGTTCATTTAAGTGTGCGCGCTGTTTGTGTAAGTTCCTTGCTGTCAGAGGTGACCTTGCTAGTTTCTGGCCCCGTTAGTGCAGTGGGGCGTTCATGCTTGGGTCCTCTGAGTCGGCCGGATTGGGCCCCTCGTTGGATGCGGGCTCGGCCCAGCCGCGCGCATCCGACGCGCGTTCAAACTGAATTCAACATTGTTTCATTTTGTCGGGCATGGGGGGTTTCGCGGTCAGCACTTCACAGAAGCTGACCCGATCCTGCCCCCTAGGGCCATCTGCGACCGGCGGGTGCAACACTGACAGGCTCGCTGGAGAAAGCCCCCGAAGTACGGCATGGCCACTTCAGACCCGTAATTGTCTGGTGCCAGGGTCGAGCTTGCACTCGTTAGCCCCTGTTTGCGGGAATCGTTGGAATCCTCTCCTCTGGTGCGGTGTGCTTCTCTTCCACGCGTCGGATGAGGAAGAATGCGGCTTTCAAGTTCACCTGCTCTCTCGTTCGCGCCCCGCACACGTGCTGATGAGTCCTCATGCCCGCTCCCGTTTTCTTCTTCTTCTTCTTCTTCTTCTTCTTCGTCTTCGTCTTCTTCTTCAACAAAAGGCCCCAAACGAGGGAAAAACAACAATTTTGGGCTCAGGAGCTCAGGAATGGCTCTTGTTAAGAGGCCGCTCCTTATATCAAGCTCGGGGAGCCTGTTAGTGGCCTGGGCCCACCATGGACCACGGCCAGACCAACCCTTCGGCTCCTTCTTCAGCGTGCCGTCTGGTAGCACGATGGCTGTATCCACTGTTCGCTGTGACCCGGTATTTTTCGGAGTCTCAGGTTCCAATGTAGCTGAAGCGTTTTCATATTTCAAGAGTCGACTGGTTTTGCCCCCCGCGTGCGGGAACCCAATTTGTTTTCAAATGCCTTCCTTGTTTCTGTTTCTACCCAGTTCTTCCGCATGACGGGTACATTTTCGGAGGTCGGAGCGGATTTCTTGGGTCGTGGCTGAGTCCTGGCAGCGCTTCCGGCGCCGCCCTTGGCGCTGGGGCAATTCCATCGGTGGCTCAGGAAGTCAGCGTGGACCTCCCGGCACTCGTGTTTACCTGTAGTTTTTTTCTGTTATCCCCCAGGCCCCAGAGAGGGGGGGGGAGGGTGGTTCAGGGTTCGAAATGTCCAGATTGGCCTCGCGCGCTCCCGCGTGGGGTTCTTAGAAGAGGGCGCCATCGACGGCGCCAGGGGCGAAGGCAGACGACGACGACGGCCAGGTCCTTCCTCAGTCCTCCTTCGTTCCTTCTCCTCCCTTCCTTTCCTCTTCATCTTCCCGCATTCATATTTCCTCATCCTTCTTCCTCCCCATTCCTCCATCCCCATCCCTCACTAATCTTTCCTCCTTCTCCCTGTACTCCCTTGCCTCTCCTCCTCTTCCTCTTCTCCTCCTCCTCCCTCATTTAGTCATTCTCCTCCTTCCCCCTTTTCCTCCCCATCCTCCTCCTCCTCCTCCCCCTCCGCCTCCTTCTCCTCCTTCTACTCCCGAGGTCCACGTCGACGCCGTCCGCGCGACCCCCTCCAAGAATTCCGCGCGGACCTTCGAATGTCTATGCTCGTGTAGTTATTTCTCCTTTGTGGTGGTGCTGGTGTCGGCTCTCACTGCCCCCCGTCCCCCCTTCCCCTTCCTCATCCCCAGACTTCCGAGGATCTGACCTTTGGAGTGCGCGGCCTCAGAGATCCTGATTTCCCCGGGTGTAGTTTCTCGCCAGAACTCGGCCCCCAGCTTTTTGCGTCATTCCTGGGGCTGGGCCGGTCCGTGAGGGCCCCAGGGGACCATCACTGCTGCAGCAGCAGGTGTCTCAATGGACAGCCGAGGCGAAGGCGGCGAGAGGGAGCACGACGTCGCCCGTAGGAACCACTCGCCGAGCAGATTTTTGGTGGTCCCAGGGCCCGAAAGCGGCCCCAGGAGGCGGAAGAGAAAGGAAAACGCAGCGATCGAACACAACGCACGTCGTCATGGAGCTGGCCCGGAGGACGTGGAGGAGGGGCACTCGCCTGGCCTTCGAACCCCAGCCCCTGGCCGCCTTCCCAGGAGGCCCCAAGAGGGTCTCAAGAGGCCTCCTCCTCCTCCTCCTCCTCCTCCTCCTTCTCATTCTTTCTCTGCATCGCCAAAGTGTTCCCCCAAAGGGGTTCCACAACTGCTGGGGCAACACGTGGTCCAATAGCTCGGCCAGGCCTCGGCCAAACGTCTGGCCGGTGGGGCGTCTCCAGAAGGCGGGGGCGGCGGTGATTCGCCGTCGGCGTCTTCGATCCGCCGCCCCCCGTTGATTTATCTCGGGTGGTCCGAGCGCGAGGCCCTGCGAGGGCCGCCGCCCGAGGCAGTGCCGTGACGCTCCTCGGCGGCCCCGCCGCGCCGAGGGCTTTCCGTGGCGAGGACGACCGCGACGGCGGCGACGACGAGGCCAGGGCCGAGGCCGATGGCGGCGCCGAGGACGAGGCCGAGGCCGCGGAGGACGAGGACGACGACATGAGGGAGTCGACTAGACGCAAGAGTGACCTTTCGCCGGAGTGACTTTTGGTGTGGGCATAGATGGGTTCTCAGATGGCTGAAAACGAAGCGGTAGCAGCGGCTTGCGCGCCCAGGTTTGGTCTCCAAAAAGCCGCGCACTGAAGGCCACTCTTAGCCAGGGTCACTCTTGCGTGTGGCCGAGGGAGGCCGTGATGTCTATGTCCAAGCCTCCACCGGTGCTCTTCCAGCTCCAGGCCCTGGACTCCTCATCCAGTGGTTCCCTGTCAAGTGCCCTCACTGCCTCTTACCTTGCCCCCTGGTCTTCGGGTCATAGCCCCGCTCTTCGGCGGCCGCTCGGGACACTGGGCTCCCCTGGAGGGCGCTCGGCGAGGCGCCGCTGCCGAAGAGCAGCCCGAGGCTGGGAAAACCGCCGAGAACCAGCGCGGACGCCCGAGACGCGGAGCTGCCTGCGCGCGACCCCTCCCGCCGCTGCTGAAGAGCATCCCGAGGCTGGAACACCGGCCAGAACCAGCGCAAACGTTCCACAGGTGTCGCCGCAGCATTTCTTTACTCTGTTAGCCGCCGCCTCGCGCCTTCTCGTGGCCTCCTCCGCCGCTCGGCTTCTGGCATGGGCCAGCTGCCGCGGGAAGCGTGTAGATCGCTCACCGTCCGTGGTCCAGGGAACCCGCGAGCCACCAGAGGAAAAAAAAACGTCCGAGACGTACGAGAAAATGTGTCGCAGGCGCTGCCTGCGCGCGAAGCTTCCTGGGGCGAGCCCCCCCCTAGGGGGCCACATGCGAACCCTACCCCTACCCTCCTCGATTTCTGAGGGGGAGGGTGGGGTTCACTTCGTTGGGGAGCTCCCAGCGCGAAGTGAACCCCACCCTCCCCTCAGAAATCGTGGGGGGTAGGGGTAGGGTTCGCATGCGGCCCCCTACCCCCCCCCCGCCGCGCCGCTCCCGGCTCGAGACGCGGGCCTCCAGCGGCGGGCCCCTCGGGCGGGCGCCGCTCCGCGCACCAGCGGCCCGCCGACGCCCGCTTCGTCGTCGTCGTCGTCGTCGTCGTCGTCGTCGTCGTCGTCGTCGTCGTTGTCGTCGTCGTCGTCGTCGTCGTCGTCGTTCACGTCCTCCACCCCGTCTTCCTCCCTGCCCTCCCTCCCTGTGTCCCCTCCCCTTCTTCCTCTCTGCCCAACCTCCCTCCCTCCCCCCTCTGTCCTCCCTTTGGCAAGCTTGTGCCTGCTTCTTGTGGGAACCCTATGTTCTTCCGCTCCTCCTGTGGATTTCTCGCTTGGGAGGGGCTGGTGTGGTTCTCTCCTGACTTGCCAGGACGAGGGTCCTGTTGCTTTAACCTCCCATCGCACGTCCGTCCATGGACTGGCTTTAGGCTCGTCCCCAACAATTTCTGTCCATGGAGGAGGAGGAGGAGGAGGAGGAGGAGGAGGAGGAGGAGGAGGAGGAGGAGGAGGAGGAGGAGGAGGAAAAAGAGGAGGAGAATGAGCAGGAGGAGGAGGAGGAGGAGGAGGAGGAGGAGGAGGAGGAGGAGGAGGTGTTAACATGTGAGCATTCAGGTGACTGGGGAGTGAAGGTGTCCCCGTTACCGTTTGGCTCAAGTATTTAACGGCTGAAGCTACCGAGACTTGCTTCGCCGTGTTGAGGTAAAAAGGTGACCGATCGTCATCGCTGTCACCGAGCTCCCGTGCAGAACCCTCCTCGGGGTTTTGCATGGTAGCGGAGCGCGGTTGCCATGGCGGCGGCGGCGGCCGCTGCAGCCAGGCCCGCGCAGGGCGACCCGCCGGTCAACCTTAACGTGCCGGCGGACAGAGATGCATGGGTCAACATGGACCCTAACCGCTTCAACGACCTGTGCGAGCAGGCGTACCTGAACGGGGACTTCAGTTACGGTCAGATGGCGTTACTTGCAAATCATTATGGACTTGCGACGTTCATTAACGAGCGAGTAACACAGGACCGAAGGGAAGTATCGAACGTTGAGGCATTTCAAATGTTACAGAGTGCTCAGAAGACCAACAGCATGTTGTTAGCGATAACGAAGAGAAACGCTGCGGTTGAAAGGGATGCTCGCAGATTGGTAGAAAGAGTTACCGAGTTGGAGACCAACAACGAAGTACAAGAGAAGTTAATTGAAAAGTTTGGTCAGCTTTCGGAAGCAATCAAAGGCGGAAGCGGAAATAAACACGGGAGCGGTAAACCGATAAGCGAGTACAAAGCATTACAGGCGTTAGAGAACTTCAGTGGAGAAAGAGCAAAGTTCAGAGACTGGAGCGACAAGTTCTTGAACGCGCTTGCCCAAGTAAAACCGAGTCACCGACCGGCACTGAACATGTAGAACAAGAAGTTGGAGACACTTGACGGAGTTGTCCCAGAGGATGATGATGATGATATCATACGCATAATGAACGGTCGGTTAACAGCAAGCGAATACTTAAAGGCAAACCAAGCTAAACAAGCAGAGGATGACAACAAAAGAGATTATGAGTTTACCGAGGGAGACACAACTCAAATGGAGGAAGACTTATGGTACATCCTTAACGAAAAGCTTGAAGGTGCAGAAGCAAGGGGGAAATTAAAGGGACTCATGGATGGTGACGGAATTATGGCTTGGCAAAAGGTTTACAAATTGTACTCGGCTGTTACCGGAGCGACCCTTTCCTCAAAGATGACGCACGCTATGAACCCTGAGCCGCCCAAGAAAATTACCGATACCGTTGCCCGACTTGAGGAGTGGGGCGCGTTAGCGGATAATCTTGAAAAGTATGGCAAATATTACTCACTGCCCCTCCCCTTTAAGGTTACCGCGCTCAGGGCAATAATGGTGCACGCGAATGATTGGTTTGACGAGTGGCAGCAGGCGTGTTGGCGAACGCCTGACGCACTTAACATTGATTCGTTCCAAAAGTTATACTCCAAGTGTGAAGATTGGGCGCGTAAAAAGAAACTTGACTCAGACACCAAAAATAAAGATGCGATGGGCATTGGAAATATTAACGAGACGAGTCAAGGGTCCGAAAATGTCTGGGATCAGACAGGGTGGGTTGACGAAGATGGAAACTGGTGGCCAGAGGGCGGATCTTGGAGTTACGGGTCCTGGGCTAATGAAAGTGAGACTGGAGATCATGAGGAAGTTGACGCCGTAAACAAGGGTAAAGGCAAAGGCTCAGGCCCCAAATGTTACAATTGCGGAGGCATGGGCCATTTAGCCAGGAACTGCACAAAGCCTAAATAGTTCACGAAAGGAGGCAAAGGTGGCAAAGGCGGCAAAGGCAAAGGTTACCGTGCCACCTATGGATCTTACATGAAAGGTAAGATTGGAGGTAAACAAGGTGGTAAAGGTGGCGGCTCGTGGGGTGGAAGTTACGGTGGCCAAGGAAGATTTACCCCCCACAGCGAGCGTGAATGTTACAAGTGTGGCGCTAAAGGGCACATTGCAGTTAACTGCCCAGGTCCCAAGAAGACCGCCAACGAAGTTGAGCAAGAGAGACCAACGGTAAACGCGGAAGTGAACAAACCACCTCGTTTGGCCAACCGCAGCATGTGTTCAGTGTTGAGATGAATGAAGAAGTGAATGTGCCACCGGAACCGCCCGCGGCTGAGGAGATTAACGGACAATGGGCACTGCCCGCGCATTCCAGAAAGAAAATGGCGCGTAAAATCTCAGTGGACCTGAGAAAAGCTTACCAGGAGCATCAGTGTAACGGGAACTGCAATCATGTAAATCAGTGGGGCCAGAGGATAAGTAAAAGCATAGAGCAGGAAAAGAGTTGGTTTGAGAAATGTGGAGAAATTGGGTTAATCGACATGCGAGACTGTGACCCAGAAATTAACGCGGTGCCACCTCAGAGTACAACGCACGAAACAATCGTGGTTACCGTGGGCTCTGGAGCGTACAACACGGTAGGACCCCAAGAATAGGCGCCTACTTCCCCATTAAACAGACAGATGCGTCAAAGCAGGGAAGACACTACAGCGCGGCAAACGGAACGACGATAAAGAATTACGGGCAGCGAGTAGTAACCGGCAAGAATGAACATGGAAACTCAGTCATTATGCCAATTCAAGTGGCGGAAGTCAACAAAGTTCTGGGATCTGTCAGAGAGATGGTAATCGCTGGAAACAGAGTTGTATTTGACAAGTACCTTAACGGGAAATCCCTGAGTCATATTATGAATAAGGCCACGGGTAAATGTGCGACCATCCACGAGAAGAACGGCGCGTTCCAGTTTAACATCATGGTGCCGAAGGGACCGGTGGAGGCTGTCAAGCCCAAGAGTGAGGTAAACGCAGCTGAGGGTTTTCCGCGGCCGGGAACCCTCGAGGCGGACCTGTTCTACTAAGCCCATCATTGCCCGTAAGACCAAGTGAAAACTTAAACGTCTTTAACACCGAAGAAGGCGAAGGGGCTGAAAGTGGGGGCAGCGAAAGTGAGTTGAGTGACGTAGAAGACGTGTTTGTGAGTGACGAAGCAGAGTTACCGAAGAAAGTTTACTGTGACATGAGACCGTCAAAGGAGGAAGTTGAGGCGCACAATGCAACGCATTTGCCTTACCGAAGTTGGTGCCCACATTGCGTTAGGGGCAAGGCGCGTAGGCGCAATCGCAGGAGACGTAAAAGGAAAAGTAACGGAGGTGTACCAGTAATTTCAATGGATTACATGTGGCTTAAAGGAAGAAAGGAAGAAGGCGAAAGTGCGAACACTGGTAACCCAATTCTGGTCATGCATTGCAGGGGAACCAAGTTAACGTGGAGCCGAGTGTTGTTGAAGAAAGGGGTGGATCCATACTCAGTAAAAGTGGGATGTGACATGATCGGCTTTACCGGACATAAGAAGGTTATACTTAAAAGTGATGGAGAAGCGGCAATTACGGCGCTGGCCAACATGATTAAAGCGTCGAGTGACCTTGACATGGGTGTTGAAGTCAGTCCTGTAGGCGATTCAAAGGCCAACGGTGAAATTGAGAGCTGTTAGAACGGTGCAAGGACAAGTCAGGACATTAAAGAGCGCCTTGGATGCCAATTACAAGACCGAGTTTAGTGAAAGCCATACGATTATACCATGGATGGTAAGTTATGCGTCTTCTCTGATTAACAAGTTCACGATATATACAGATGGAAAGACAGCCCATGAAAGATGTAGGGGGAGGAAGTTTAACAAACAAATTCCTGAGTTCGGTGAATGTGTCATGTATTTAAAGACGCCTGCGCACAAAGGCCGTGAAAAGCTTGAAATGAGATGGGAAAGTGGAGTGTTTTTGGGAATTAACGAGAAGAGTCAGGAGCTCATCATTGGAACACCGAACGGAGCGATCAAGGCGCACGAGTTCAAACGAAAGGGAAGTGAAGCGGAAAGATGGAATATGAACGAAATCACCGAGATGAAGGGGTTACCTTGGCAGCCTGACCCCAACGCGGCAGGAATGGAGTTACAGTCTAGAATTATGGTCCCCATGGACTTGCCAGAGCAAGAGTTAACGGCGCCTGAGACGAAGCCGCTGATTGCGCGAGGAATAGCCGTAAAGAAGCACGAATATCTGAAAATGGGACCGACGCCGGGATGTTACGGGTGTAAATGCCTAGTTAGAGGCGACAAAGAGCATAAACCACATAATGCTGATTGCAGAGCTCGCGTGATCGAGTGGTTAAAGAGACAAGAAAGCCCAAACATACAAGCAAGGTTAGCCTCGGCCCAACTGAGACTCGAAGGTAAAAGCCGAGCGTCTGAAAGTCAAGATCAGGAATCAGCAAGTCAAGCGAAGAGACCGAAACTTAACGCACCACCTCCGCCGAGTGCCAAAGTTGAGGATGTAAAAGATGAGTGGGTGATAGAAGGAAACAAAATTATCTGTCAACACAGGCGACCAAGAAGAGAGTTAGCCTTTCCCACCAATGGTGGATGCCCTGTTGATTGGGATAAACTTAAACCCAGGAGATTTACCCATGCCATTCTAAACGACAGCGGTGAAATACGTGAGCATGAAGATGCTTGGTACGGCAAAGAGGGAGATGATC